ATGAAAATAACCAAGCTGAGAGAGCGTCAAGGACCCCCAAAGCCACTGTCCTCCCCCTCCTCTTCCTCTCTGCAAACCCCACTCCCTTCTGGCACTGATGATGTTCCCTAGTCGGGCAGTGAAACGTCTGCAAGGAACCCACCAAGCTCCGAGAGCAACAGGGTCCCCCAATTTCTCCTCTCCGCCAACTCCACTCTTTTCTGGCACTGATACTGTTACCTAGCTGGGTCGTGAAACAGCTGCATGAAAATAACCAAGCTGAGAGAGCGTCAAGGACCCCCAAAGCCACTGTCCTCCCCCTCCTCTTCCTCTCTGCAAACCCCACTCCCTTCTGGCACTGATGATGTTCCACAGCTGGGTCGTGAAAGGTCTGCAAAAAACCCGCCAAGCTCAGAGGGCACCGAGGACTCCGCAGACAGTTTCTTGAGAGAGACTCATATCCACGATTAGCAGGACCCACCCAGAATTCATCCAACAGAGGGAGAGAGAGAGGAGGAAGGAGGCCCTCTTGGGAGTAGCAGCTCCTTCGCTTACCGGGATTCTCCGCCGATGACAAAGGAGAGGAGGGGGTCTCTGGGGCGTGCTCGCTTTTCTGACCGCCGAGGATCGGCCCAGAAGACAACTCTGTGATGGGCAAACCTTCAGGGAAATGGGGGGCCTTCTTGGATTCATCGCCGCTCGGAGTCTTCTTCACGTTATGCTTTGGCGTCCCCAGAGGTGAGGAAAACAGAACGGGATCCTGATTAAAAGGGACTGCGTAAATTAGCGATTTGGTGTGGGTTTTGTTTTTTTTAAATTGAGTCTTCACAGCAAGGCCGTGCTGTAGACCTATCCCAGCCCCTGCCCACCCCCCCAAAAAATCAATAAATCCATAAAGTATTTCCATTTATTAAGAGCCGTGGTGGTGCAGTGGTTAAGAGTGCAGTCCTGCAAGCTACTTCTGCTGACTGCCAGGTGCCTGCAATTTGGCAGTTTGAATCTCACCAGGCTCAAGGTCGATTCAGCCTTCCGTCCTTCCGAGGTGGGTCAAATGGGGACCCGGATTGTTGGGGGACAAGAGGCTGATTCGGTAAACTGCTTAGAGAGGGCTTTAAAGCACTGTGAAGCAGTATATAAGTCTTAAGTGCTATTCCTTCCTTCCTTCTCTCCTTGCTTCCTTTCCCCCCTCACTCCTTCTTTCTATTCCTTCCTTCTCTCCTTCCTTCCTTACTTTCCCCCCTCACTCCCTCTTTCTATTCCTTCCTTTTCCCCGCCACTCCCTCTTTCTATTCCTTCTCTCTCTCCTTCCTTCCTTCCTTCCTTCCTTCCTTCCTTCCTTCCTTCCTTCCTTCCTTCCTTCCTTCCTTCCTTCCTTGGTGTTACAGTTGTTAGAAGGCAGTATTGCAGGCTAAACTCTGCCCACAGCCAGCAAGTTCGATTCTGTTTGGCTCAAGGTTGACTCGGACTTCCGTCCTTCCGAGGTGGGTCAAATGAGGACCCGGATTGTTGGGGGACAAGAGGCTGACTCTGTAAACTGCTTAGAGAGGGCTTTGAAGCACTGTGAAGCGGTATATAAGTCTTAAGTGCTATTCCTTCCTTCCCTCCCTCCTTCCTTCTCTCTTTGCTTCCTTCCTTCCTTCCTTGGCATTACAGTGGTTAGAATGCAGCATTGTAGGCTGATTCTGCCCACTGCCAGCAGTTCGATCCCGACTGGCTCAAGATTGACTCAGCTTTCTGTCCTTCCGAGGTGGGTCAAATGAGGACCCGGATTGTTGGGGGACAAGAGGCTGACTCTGTAAACTGCTTAGAGAGGGCTTTGAAGCACTGTGAAGCGGTATATAAGTCTTAAGTGCTATTCCTTCCTTCCCTCCCTCCTTCCTTCTCTCTTTGCTTCCTTCCTTCCTTCCTTGGCATTACAGTGGTTAGAATGCAGCATTGTAGGCTGATTCTGCCCACTGCCAGCAGTTCGATCCCGACTGGCTCAAGATTGACTCAGCTTTCTGTCCTTCCGAGGTGGGTCAAATGAGGACCCAGATTGTTGGGGGCAAGAGGCTGACTGTAAACCGCTTAGAGAGGGATGTAAAAGCACTATGAAGCGGTATATAAATCTTAAGTGTTATTACTTCCTTCCTTCCTTCCTTGGCATTACAGTGGTTAGAATGCAGCATTGTAGGCTGATTCTGCCCACTGCCAGCAGTTCGATCC